AAAAACAAGCCCAAAATGGAATGGGCTTCAAGCTATATTGCATGACACACGCCAGTGTTATGGTTACAGTACCCCTATGACCCTAATTGGTTACAGGACACCTGAGGTGAAATCTTTATTAAAATAAAGGCATGAATCCATCACTTTTGCCATGAGTCATATAGTAGATTTCATCTGGCTCTCTAGATTTGGGTGGTAACTGGTTTAAGAGAATGACAATTTTGAATTCAAAACCGTAAATAAGGCAGTAGGGAATCACTCCAGTATTATTCCTTAGAAATGACAATTCACAGATGATAAAAAAGGATTCTGTGAAAAGCTATAATTGTCTGATTCATGAAGGTACATGGCATTAAAAATGAAATCACAAGTGACTCCTGATGATGGCTAAAAAATTTTTATAAACAGAAAAGGCACAGCATTTTGGGCAAACATAAAAATAAGACAGTATCAAAAGGATGGTTTTTCCCATGACACTGCTTTTTCAACGGACTTCATTGTTCAGCAGTGTTTGTTTGAAAAAGTGACTATTAGAATTGGAATAAAAATTAAACTTATGATGAAAGTGAATTTATACATTTTTTTGTTCTTGAGAACTTATAACAAAAATATTAAACACTATTAAGTTATTTATTTGCAAAAATAATATATTTACATTATAAAAACTAATACATTTAAATACCAATTTATGTAGAAATATGAACATTTTTTTTATTCATAAATTGATAAACATTTACTAAATTATTAAAATATGAGCATTAACTCCTTATTTACAATTTTACAAAGTTTGAATCAATTGGTAATTAACTGATGTTTAGCTAACCATTCTAATAATTAACATAATAAATAAACTATCTATGAAATGTAGTCATGATAAAATTCTTGGTGATAATTCAAGCACAAAGGCTAACATTGAAACTGTTAATTTATTGTATTTTTTGTCCTCTAAGACTTATATATTTAGTTGTGGATTAAAAATAAAATAAAGGACTAACTTTGACACTGAACCACCCAGCAAGGATTGAAATTTTTTAATATTATTGTTCACCCTTTAAAAGGTCCAAGAGCTACTAAAGGTTCATGGTTACTAAATGAGGTTGAAAGAGCTTATGAGGGAGTAAGGGGGTTGCATATTATCAAGATATGTATGATAGATAATTGTTAACTCTAGACTTGTAAAGATTAATATTTTAGCGATTGGAGAAGCATCCTTCTGGGAATTCAGTTCTCCAACATGACAGTTCTAGAGAAGAAGCAGTTTGAGTGAAAATTATTTCTTACCATTGTAATATGAAGGGAATGAGGATGAGCAGATCCTGTCTGCATGGCATGGCAGGCCCTAGCTGTGAATGTCTTGACTGGTGGAACTAAAGAATATAGCCTTCATTTTCTCTCAAAATGGTGATAAATCAAAGAGAGACAGACATGTAATGTTTCATCTGTGGGGAAATGTCTTAACCAAACTAGCTTAAATAAAATGACCAACTTATTGAATGTTTGTCTATATTTCTGAGATGAGGTATTGTAATTATTTACTGTTGTATCCTTAAAAAGGTTACACAGACAGACAAAGGTAGTACATTTACATTGTCTGGACTGCTGTGCTCATCTTTGTCATATTCACAAAGTTTCACCCATTGTATGTTTTGGCCTTCTTCAAGTGATTGGAATTTTGAACTGAACTTTTTTTTTTTTTTTTTTTTTCATTTATCTGAATAGATTGTTCTAGTTCCACGTGCCATGCCTCTTTCAGATGTCTCAGTTATCTCCCTTTAACTCAACTCTCCAAGTTTTTGTTCACCACTACAGTAGCCTCAATAAGACCGTATTCAAGGACACATGCCCCAGTGGATAAAATCATTGGTTGGATCCAGTGACTTGATCCAAAGGGTTGTGAGTTCAATACCTGGCTACTGAAGTGGTGAACAAAAACTCCTCCTCTCAGGAGTCTTTTCTACAAAGCTCTTTGGTGGGGGGAACAGTCAGATTGGAACTTCCTTTTACTAATAGAATACAAACTGTATGAGTATGGTTTGTTCATGGTATACATGGCTTGGGTCTTAGCTGTAAAGATCTGAACTGATAGAAAAGGAGAATGTAGCTTATCAAAACATTTGTCATTGAAATAACAGTAGTGATAGGCTGTACGAAAGGTGTTGGAGAGTGGTAAATAATTTCCTCACCTACAAAGCTGCTTTTCAACTTTCACAAAGTTGAAGTGTTGATTGGTTATCTCCAGTTCAGATATGGCAGTAATTTCTTCTTACTTCAATATCTCTTGTTTCATTCTCCAAGCCCTCTTTCTTCATTGTGTCTCAGAAATTTCAGTCACCTCTTTCTAATTGTTAGTATCACTTGTAGTTCCTGTTCTTGTATAGCACACTTTAAATATTATTCTCATGGTGGAAACAACTGTGTTTTTGACCATCTTCTGGTAGCTCTCGCTCTTCCTCAATAATATGGGCAAGGTAATAATCTAATACAGAACTGACTTTCCTGT